GAACTTGATTTTACCAACAGTGTTGAGATAACAAAGGTAAACAAATTACAAATAGTTCATCAATCGTTAATTGCATTACATGTATAGGATTGTTCCATCCTATGATCTTTTCTTAAATGGCAGGGGACTTTCTGTATTGCGTTGTGGCGTGGGACCGAGGTTGCAGTAAAAAAGCTCGGGGATGCCGTCTTAATTAATGAGGAGAAAGTGTGAGTTGTGTATATGAACCTTGTGCAGAGATAGTTTGGTTCTGTTATGCTTTCATGATAATTAATATATTTGAGTTCTAACAGGAAGGCTTTCAGAGATGAGCTTGCTCTGTTCCAGAAGATTCGTCATCCAAATGTACTCCAATTTCTTGGTGCTGTGACACAGAGTAGTCCAATGATGATTGTGACAGAATATCTTCCCAAGGTTTTGTCCTATAATCTTAAGGGACATGATTTTGTGGTGTTTCTTGGGATACTAGTTTGATGTAATTTCATAGTAATATGATAGAAAATGTTCCTTTCTAGATCTCATTTCCGAATGTTGTGCAGGGAGATCTTCGTGGTTTCATGATAAGAAAAGGAGCTTTAAAACCAAGTACGGCTGTTAGATTTGCACTTGATATTGCTAGGTATTTGACATTCTCATGCCTCAGATTTTATTTTGGTTATTTGCAAGTTGCAACATTGTGTCACGAAGTCAGCACTTGATCCCATTCAAGCGGGATGCGCTCTGATGTTCAGCTGATCATCTGAGTTGGTCATAAGATCATCTCAATGTTTGCTTCAATCCATCCCTCCATATCTCTCAGCCCAGAGAATCTCATCTAATGAGTTTGATTAAAGAGAAAGACCGAGCGGAAGAGATATCTGCTAAAGGAGAAAGTGTGTTAAGGAAAGCAGAAATGCTTCAAATTCTCTGCCCCTGTGCCCAGTGTTTCCAGATATAGGAAAAATAGTGTTTTAGGAACTAGAAAGTAATGGAAATCAAGGAAAATTAGATAAAAAGGTAAGAAGCTAAAATATTATAATTTAAAAAAAACATAGTTAATTACATAAATATGTGTTCATAGGCTGAGTAAGTGAAGCCCATGTTTAATTTGGCTGTGTAATGATCCAATCCGTATGTCCAGTAACTTAAGTGGGTGGATATCATCCATAAAGAGAAACAAGTTATTAATTATCCAAATATAGTTCTTGAACAGGTTTCTTCTCAGAAATTTTCTGATTGGCATGTCCTAAGAAGCATCATGGCTTTAACATTTCTCTCTCCAGGTTCATACTTTCTGGATAAAAATATGCATTACCTTTTAGAGATGACTTTTCAAAATTCATGTATGTGAATCATTTTAAGATGAGACATCTACTTGGTTCTGATTCTCTTGAATTTGAATATGATGTCTCTACTGCAATGTTTATCTTTTTTCTCTATTGAAGTGTCACTTAACACCGTTTTTATTTTATATTATGCAGGGGAGTGGGTTATTTGCATGAAAATAAACCATCACCCATTATTCACCGTGATCTCGAGCCTTCGTAAGTTTCTTCATTGAATTATTGTTTTTTCCTTTGTCCTTTTATGTGAAGTTCGAATGTATTGATTAGTCATCTGATATATTTACACTTTGTATCAATGTTGCTTATGTGTAAACTAACAGTAATATATTGAGGGATGATTTCGGCCACCTAAAAGTTGCAGACTTTGGAGTTAGCAAGTTGCTAACAGTTAAAGACAAGCCTCTAACTTTCCAAGATGCTTCTTGTGGGTGCTGCTTTTCTTTAGAACTGTTATCAATGCACACTTGAATATCTAAATATCTAAATACTATATTCTCTTATTCATATAGGACATTGTGATATTTTTTATGCAGTGGTCTTAGATATGCTGCTTTATGAAATAATTTTCTAAAACTGGAACTTTGTTATTTTGTTAATAGGCCGCTATGTGGCTCCTGAGGTTTTTAATCAAGAGGAATATGACACTAAAGTGGATGTGTTCTCATTTGCACTAATTCTACAAGAGGTAACTAATTTTAGCGTTTCATCTTTATATGGAACTATACATTATACAAATAATATATTTTCCTATATGAGAATATTTATTGAACATATTTTGTTCCCTGTAAAAACTGAAAACAAAACACCTAACATTTGTTACTGATACGATACTAAAAGCATATATTTGTTAAAACATGTACGATTAAAAACAAATAAAATCTTTACAGGAACCAAAACCAATTTTTTATATATTTTTTACTTTTATAGGTAATAAAAATATATTTAACCCATATGTAAATAATTTCTGAGTATATTATGTGAACAAATACATTTCTTTAATCTTGAAAATGTAAATGGGTAACTCCCTTTCTAGAGGAAGGGAATGTAACCACTCTTGTCAGACGCAGAAAATGGAAGGTAAAAAACCCGCTATTATAAGCAAGCCATTGTGGTCTACCATCTATGGCGGGTATCCCTTCACAAATTGCCCATGGCAATTGTGAAAAAATCCACCACTCTATGGTTTCCATTTAACAACAACGAATGTAACTGAGTGGTGTTTGTTGATTAGTGATTTTTGGGTGGGAGAAACAAGACTCTTAAATCCTGGGAATGTTATGTACATGTTCTGACTCTTCTTTCTTGGATCCTACAGATCCAGGGAGAGGAGAAGGCAACCCTATGCAGACCATCCCTGTTTCTTCTATCTGTCTACATTGTATTATCGATGGGCTGTCAAAATATTTAGAAAATATCCCAAAATTTCATTTTTGTATACTAGAATAAAAGTATCTTAGATGATCTCTCCAGAATGATTTTTAAAATTAATTATATTTTATGTTTTGTTCTTTGTTCGAGTAAACTGGGATTTATAATCAAGTAATATCTTCCCGTCATCATTTGGGTGTTAAGTTTACAAAATTTTGGAGCTAAATAGTGAATGATACATTCATAACTTCATGTATCATTTCTGATGTAAACTATATATGCTGCACTTTAGATGATTGAAGGCTGCCCTCCTTTTTCTGCAGAGCGTGAGGATGAGGTTCCTAAGGTTTATGCCTCAAAAGAGAGACCACCCTTCCGAGCTCCTACTAAGCATTATTCTCATGGAATTCGAAAGTAAGTTTTCTATGCTTTTTTTTCTTCTTTCTTTCTGGTATTTAATACTATCTCCATCCTTTTTTTAGCACCATTGGTATTTTTCACATATATTAAAAAAAATTGGTAGTGTAATTAATATTTACATTTTGTACTATAAATATTACTAGATTAGTAGATTGTTCTTTGTATATAGATGTGTTCAATTCAGACTTTTCATCTTCTAAAACAATAAGAGGTATCTTTGTAAAAGGTTAATAACTGCATCCTGTAAAAGGTTAATAAGAGGTATGCAGAGACAATAGAGTAGGTATCCACTCCATTTCTTAAAGAGAAATGGAGGATCCATTACTATAGTTTTGTGTGTATAAAGTTAAATAAATATTAAATATGTGTCACATGTTTTAGAAATATGTGTAATTTACACACAAAACTGTAGTAATGGACCCTCTATTTTTTTTAAAAAAATGAAGTGGATCCCTACTCGAGACAATAATCTTTTGAAAGTGCGCTTACAATTAGGGACATAGGTAGTAAGTAGTAGGATGTCAAACTATTTCTTCATCTTGGACTCTTGCAATTCACAATCTTTTGCTAATTTAATAAGCGAGTATTTTTTCCTATCTGATTTGACAAAAAAATCACGTTTGTGCCCGTAAACATTTTTTTCCATTTTACAAAGCAAGTCGTGTGGGTATGTAGTGCGAAGACCTGTGAATTATGTTGTAAGAAGAGTAGTCAAACAACTAGAGGTAAGAGAAACTATAAAGAAAGATCTTGAGGTTTAACGAGTTAGATAGAAACATGGTCAATAATAGAACTTTATGGCGTAATTTGATTCATGTAGCCGATTCTATTTAGTGGGATAAGACTTGGTTATTGGTACAAAGCAAGTTGTGCCAACTTAATCGAGTGAGGTTTGGATTGGCGATGATAACGATTTTGTTAGATTTACGACAAGTCATCGCGATCTTAGCAAAATCTACACTTTAGAGCTTCAACAAAATAATAGAATCACTTTGATTTTGACAAACTCCTTGTCAATCCAAATATACAATGAATGTGATTAAAAGACCATGTTATTCATGACTCCTATATTACTATTTTGTATGTTGCATACTATGTCTTGTCCATCTTGTCTGAGTGTGATATTACAACACTAAGCTTATCATTTAACATAACTTTTCTGCCAAATTTTACGTAACTTGCAATTTGTTGCTAATAATATATGCTTAAAGGTTGATTAAAGAGTGTTGGAAAGAGAATCCAGCAAAGAGACCAACATTCAGACAAATAATAAAAAGGCTGGAATCCATCTACAAAACAATTGGTCAAAAAGGATGTTGGAAGGTTACTATCTCTCTCTAACATACTCCCTATCCCCTTTGATCTAGATATTTTGTTTACATATCAACATATACTAGTTCAAAACTTTGAAACTTGGTTGAGTACTGAACTGGATACAGTTTGTGTAAGAAATATATTGTTCTTAAAATGTGTGATTTGGGCCTAAGCAATGTCGCATCGACACCTCTGAAAAAAGGCGTGTCCGTGCCCGTGTCGGATACCTGCACCAACACTTGTGATTACGTTTAATTTATTCATTTTTGCAATTAAGACAAGCCAAATTCCGCAATTAGGCGACTAGGGATGGACCGCAAAGGCGGAAATTCGAACAATTGTCAATTTTCAAGTTTTCTAGCATGAAAAAGATTTTGCTAATTGCAAAACTCGCGGAGGAATTGTAACATTGATACCAGTTGCTTCTATGCTCCTTGTAACATCTGCAGGTTAAAACATTGAGGTGCTTTCCGAATCTGGAAGCTTTGTTGAAGAGAGATCGCCTGAAATTAAGCATTCGGGGCAGTTCATCTTGCCCCTCTACCAGTCGGATATGAAGGAAGAAGATTGATGTTATTCTGTATAAACTTCAATATTGGCGTAAAGATACAAATCAAATTTCATTTCACTTGAGTTGGAGAATTGCAATGTTTTCTCATGTGTATTCCCAGTGCATGATTGTGATTTTAGATTCCAAGATTCTTCAATAATTTGTTTCCAACTTCGTGATATCTGGCCATAGAATTGCTTGTAAGCTGCAACAAAATAATGTATTATTGGAATTTGCTGTATTTCATGTACATTTTGTATTATGCCGGAAAAAGACATTTTTTGTATTGTGAGAATTTTTATTCTATATTGTCAGCAAAGAAAATGTATTTATTATTCAATATCTAAAACCATGACAGTGTATAACAGTAGGACACAACAATTTGTTAGTGTAGAATTCTGGTAAAATTTCCCATTTTAGATGATGAGCAATCATATTTGATAATGCTATAAAATCCCAACATAATATAATGTCCACTGTATATAATGGAAGGAAACTAAATATTCAACGGGTACTGGCTGTTAGAATGATTTAACAATATGAAATTTCTTATTTTCTATGGTGAGTGAGTAGTAGGGTGACAAAAGATCCTCTCCTTTCATTCTCTCCAGTCTCCATGTGTTCTCACCAGCAATAGGAACAAATGTATTAAATGTGGTTCTTTTGATCGACGATGTCTCACAAGGAAGTCTTGATGTGTGTCCTCACCTCTGACAATAATGATATCCTTTTTGTCATAAGATACGTAATTACTATTATCAGTTCACGATGATATCTTAATCGTTGGTGGTGTGGGTTGCAATTTCCAATGTAATGGGGCATATATAAGAAGTTTTGGAACTACTAGTTTCTCTTTCTTCACAATTTGTGAATTTTTTAACTCTTTTCCTCTTTCTCCTGCAACTTCTTATTTTACGGTCATTCTTCCTACATTGTTCTTCATATTCGACCAATTCACGCCACTCCTTTCGAGAGGACCTGCAAAGTGCGGGCCATTAACTTCGTTTCATCAAGGTAACATTCATGTCTCATTCTCTTCTATTCTTATTTTCTTAATTCAAATTTTTGGAGAAGAGGGTTACATGATTTCAAGTATTCTATTTTACATTTTGATGAACCTCCTTGTCATAGATGTCCTTTGGTAGAGATGCAAAATTTATCTTTAAATCTATTTTAGGATTTTATTCGTATTTATTGCTTTTTATGGGTTGACATAACCTTTATAATGGAGAACTATTCAACCTGAATCTGAAAAGCGACTAAGGATAACTCACCGATGTGGATGGACCAAGAGACATTGGATGCCACCTTTGCTTTTATGGGTGAGGGCGGCTTGGAGCTTGTCTTTGTCAAGATGAGATCTTCTTCAGATTTGGGAATATTTTTACCTGTGGAAGATAACAAGATATGCAATAAATATGATGGGCATGCCATTCCTTTTGATCGCACAGTAGAGCCTTGTGTATCCTTCGTGCCCTATATAGATCGTCACATATTGCCACCAGCTCACCATGGACATTATGATACTTCAATTTGAAACAGAAAGAGAAATATACTACATCCGCATTGCTACGAAAGGCTTACCCAAAGTCCACTATAGACCCTTCTGCAGGGAACTACAAGAAATTGTAGGTCAATCGTTCTAGTGCCTCTCCTTTTTCCTAAGGTGATCATCAACTCGAAATAAATCTAGGGACAAGTTACAGTGCCATTGAAATCTTATAAGTCAGATTCCTCATAGGGCCATAACTTCTCCTTTCTCAGCCATAACTTATAGAAAAGCTTTACATACATAATGCCAAAAGAGCTTATTCCATCAACGAGAATCATTGACACATCAAAATTGGCTATGGTAGTCGTTATGACCAAGAGAAGGATCTCGTTTGAAATCCTTCCTACTTTTTCACTATCCTAGAAACTGAGAATAGGTATTTTTGGCTCTTCGAACGAAGTCATTCCCTCCTTTTTTACAACCATCAACGCAAAGATTCTACTATTTATATTTACCTTGGAAGGGTTTTTTCTTGCTCTTGAGAGACCACTAGTAATAGATGTGATGTATTGGTGCTTTCCTTTCCAGTCTTCCTCTTCTTGGCTGCTACTGTCTTTTTATCGTAGCTTTAATCACAACCTCAATAGCTTTCTTGGAGAACGATTTCTCCTGGCGAGGGGACCGTTTCTTCCTTTTAGATTATTCTTGCCCCCCTTTACTATCTCTTTTGCTCCCTGCCACCTTTTTAGCCACCTTCGCGAGTATACTTAGTGAGTTTTCCTTTTTAATCAACTCTTCTATTGCATCCTTTAGATGAATGCACACATCAGTGTTGTGGTTTTGACTTTTGTGAAAACAAAAATATTTGTTCCTATCTGTCTTGGCCGATTCTCTTAATGGGTAAGGGTTCCTCAACTTGACTTACTTAAACTTGGTGTTAGCATAGTCTTTGCAGATTTCCTCTCAAATTGTTCAAAGAGTGTAGGCAGAGATCCTAGGTCGGGGTTTGCGGTCCCCATCTTTTCTTCGATGATTATTCTGTCTTTCTAGTGCTTGACCATATCCGGAATTCCCTACTCCACGGACCCTCTATCCTTCTTCAATTAGGAGTTATTCTTTGTAATTTTTATATGAATATTCCCTATTTAGAAAATCACTTAAATTACAGGCTCATTTGAGCCCAAGTTATACCTATAACATGTAATCCAACCTCAACACCTTCTTAAACACCCACCATTTTAATATGTTATATGAGTCCCTATTTTGACTTCCACTTTCATGAATCGATCAATTTACTAATGTAACATTTCCTTCTTTCTCAGCATGAACATGCTGAGTACGAAAATGATTGTGGGTTGCCGCTTTTGGCCAATAAATTGGGCAGTTAAGGAGCCATATAGATCCTTCAACAAATCTATACTCTTGTCTAGAAGGATTTCGAACCACATCATTTAAGCTCTCGCAAGGGTCAATGCGGAGATCTTGCACTTCACGAACCCTTGGGCATGGTAGTAATCTAGCCAATTAACTTCATGTTTAACATGTTAGTATGGATCTCAGATTCTATCATAATTTTGCAGCTTTGGATATTTCTCCTAATACATTGGGATTCTCCTATCGAGGAAGCACACAGACAACAAGTTCTTCTTTCGTCTTGGAGCTAGTGCTCATGTGTCATGTCTTTCCCTTCTTTGGGAATGGCGTACGGGTGAACGAAGAGGACAACAAAATCCGGGAGGAGTATGGCTACTACTTCTTTCTTCATAATCAGGCGGAGGAGTTATATATCCATGTTTTCTGCTGTGAGTTGGTGATCTCGGGACATCTCTCAATGGCATCAGGTATCGACTCTAGTGTGGAAGATTGGTTTCTCTATACGGATGTCTCATGTATAGTGTTGTACCTTGGTGTAGTGTAACACCTGAGGTCGATGAGGGCGATGAGTGGTTGTCGGTGCACGGGGCATGACAACAAGTGACTATTGAAAGCTTATAAGCAAAAACCGAATTCACATCAGAATGAGAGGGATCTTGAGGTTGTGCATGTATGTGACTACATAGTTGAAAAAAGGCTTATAAGGATTGATTGGTACTACTTATACCAATAAGACATGTCTTCTTTTTGGTAGCCTAATACATAAGAACTCTATAGTTAAGCGTGCTTGACTTGGAGTAGTATTTGTATGGATGACCTTCTGGGAAGTTTCTCAGGAAGCGTGTGAATGAGTACAAAGCATACTGAAAAGACTCGTATTAGTTTGTGGGGTCAGTCGATAATCTTAAAAGCGATATGGGGTGTTACAAATGGTCTTAGAGCCGTCCTCTCCCAATACGATATGGTTCAGAGGTGAACCAAGCAGAAGTTAATGGGCATGTAAGACTCGAGACCGATAAGGGTGAAGAGTGGTAGTCGATGCATGAGGCATGAAAATGAGCGGCTCCTGGAAGCTTCTAGGCAAAAATCAAATTCACATCGAAATGAGAGGGATCCTGATGTTGTGCAGGTACGAGATTGCATAGTTGAAAGAAGGCTTATAAGGATTGATTAGTACTACTTATACTAACAAGATGCATCTTCTTTTCGGTAGCCTAACAAATAAGAACTCCATAGTTAAGTGTGCTTGACTTGGAGTAGTATTTGGATGGGTGACTTTCTAGGAAGTTTCCCAGAAAAAACGTGTGAGTGAGGATAAAACATGCTGAAAAAACTCGTGTTGGTTTATGAGGTCAGTCGGTAATCCTAAAAGCAGTCTAAGGCGTTACAAGAAGCGTATTGAAGCTTTTCTTTAATCCTGAGTATCTTATCAGCCAGAAACTGTGAGTTCTATTGGTGTACTAGATTATAGACGTTGTTCAGAAAATCAGTGGCTTCAAGTACTCCAAGATTTGCTTGCAACAATTGGAGGATTAGGCACATTTCTTGTCCAACTACAAAAAGTATGAAGGAGATTGATGTGATGACTTACCCTAGCAAGGTTGTTGTATAGGTCTGAAGAACGGGAGAGCTTGGAACACTTACTAACCAACTCTTATAGGAGCAAAATCTTGTTGTGTAGGCCCAAATAGAGATGCCACAAGAACTAGATTGTCTTCCCTCAAATAAGGGGGGGGGGGAGTGAAAGGAGATAAGTGTTCTAGATCTTTGGTGGAGAAATAATACTTTTTAATGGAAATTAGCAGGAATCAGATGAAGTGGTGAATTTGTGTTTCGCAGCGATAACGAGAAATCGTATCATATAATTGCTACGTTTTTAATCCATTTTCATACTACATTAATCCATTTAACTCCCGATTGTTCTGAGTTTTTATGTCTTTTCACAGGTACAACATGTTTCAAGTCAATTTAGTGAAAAAGATCATATGAAGAAAGCTAACATGAAAATCAGAAGAAAAGGAACAAATCTGCAAAGTTCTGCAGATTTTGATGCTGTGACGGTCGTCACACATCTATTACGACCGTAACGCGCTCACATCATGAAGAATGCTCGTCACACATCATTGACGAACGTAACATGCTATTTAAGCGTATTACGATAGTCACCTTACTATTACGTCCGTCACGCGCCTAAACTAACGTTATGAAGAACATGGAAGCATGGGCAACGTAAAGAAATGAGTATTCACTCCTACAACCTCTCAACCTCACCAACGCCCAGTCCTAGTTTTTCTCCACTAAAGAAGTACAAGTCCACGTTCCTATTATTTCTTAACTGCCAATTTCTCCTCTATAAATAGGAGAGATTTCAATGAAGAAAGAGACATTTTTTTACATAATTTCTTGCGGAAG